AGATACATACAATGGAATATTACTCAGCCATAAAAATAAATGAAATACTGCCATCTGCGGCAACATGGATGAACCTAGAGAATATCATACTAAGCAAAATAAGTCAGACAGAGGAAGACATCATATATCACTTATGGAATCTAAAAAATTATACAAATGAATTTATATACAAAACAAACACAGACTAACAGACAAAACAAATTTACCCAAAGGGGAAGAGGGGGGTGGATAAATTAGGAGAATGGGATTAACAAACTACTATACATAAAATTACTGGAAAAGGAAATGTCAACCACTCCAGTATTCTTGCTTGGAGAATCCCAGGGACGGAGGAGCTTAGTGGGCTGCCATCTCTGGGGTCACACAGAGTCGGATACGACTGAAGTGACTTAGCATACGTAAAATACATGAGCAACAACAAGGATTTACCATATAACACAGGGAATAATACTCAATACCTTGTAATAACCTATAATGGAAAATAATCTGAATTATATAACATATATAATTGAATCACTTTGCTGTACACCTAAAACTAACACAATATCATAAGCTAACTCTACTTCAATTTTTAAAAAATAGCCTCTGGTAACTAGCAGCTACTATATTATATTGGACAGCAGAGGACACTGGCTGTAACTTAAAAACATTTAGGAAGGAGATAGTGCCTGTGATGGTTGGGGGATGGAGAGTGAGGGGAAGAGTAGTATCAAAGATGTGTGCCAAGTCACTTCAGTCCTGTCTGACTCCTTGCAACCCCATGGACTGCAGCCTGCCAGGCTCCTCTGTCCATGGGGATTCTCCAGGCAAGAATACTGGAGTGGGTTGCCATTTCCTCCTCCAGGGGATCTTCCCAACAGAGGGATCAAACCTGTGTCTCCTGCACTGCAGGTAGACTCTTCACTGCTGAGCCACCGGGAAGCCTAGTTTTTTATTTGAGAACTGGGCGGATGATACTACCATTTACTGATTTGGAGAAGAGCAGGCTCTAGGGAGATACCAAGAGTTTTCTTTTGCACAAGAGGAGTTTAAGATACTATTGGAACATTCAAGTGGAGATATCAAGTAGAAAGCAGAATGTGTACATGGTTGTCCTCACCATATTTAGGTTCCAGTGGTATCAGCCTGTTGGCTGCTTAGAAGGGAGGGGGATCAGAAAGGGGACCAGGAACTCCACACTGAGACTTTCCTTTTCCTTGTTTTGGTTATTCTGCCAACTACTCACCTAGCCAGGCAGATCTTGTTTGAAACCTGTGTATGATCTGTGACTCCTCCTTCCCCTCCTCCCTCTTCTCTCCAGGTATTGAGCCCAGGGGCTCCTTCCTTTGCTAATCGAGAAAGCCTCACCCCACCTGTTTTCTACTCTTATAGCCATTTCCACGGCTCAGGCCTCTGTCATCTCATAGTGGACTACAGCCTCAGTGCCCAGAGCTCCTGGCCTTCTCAACATTCCTGCTTTCCACCTTCCAGCAGAAGGGTCTTCCTGATTATAGGACTTTCCTCCTAGGAATCCTGTCTGGATCTGCATCAAGAGTCTCAGGCCTGAACCAACACTTGCTCTTTCTTTGGATTTCTAGAATTGCATCCAAAGGAAATCAGAAGCCTCCACAAAGTTTGAAAAACCATAAGAATGTTCCTCATAACATTTATTATAAAAGCTAGATGTATACTTCTCAACCATATCTCACATGACCCATCAGCAGTGTTTGACACTGTTGATAACTCTCCCTCGAAACACTTTCTTCATTGACTTCCAAGATACCACATTTTGTTTTTGTTCTCCTACCACTCTGGTCACTCCTCAATCTCCTTTGCCAGCTCCTTCTCATCACCCTGATCGGTACACATTACAGTGCCCCAGGGCTCAAACCTGAGAACTCCCTCTCTCTCTGCCCATGCCCTTGGTTCTCTCATGCAGCCTCATAGCTTCAAAGATAATCTGTATATTTTCTGATGACTTCCAAAAGTACATATTCAGCTCAGACTCTCCCCTGAATGCCAGACTCACAAATCCAACTGTCTACTTGACATTTCCACTTGAATGTCAAACTGGCATCTCAAACTTATCATGCCCAAAACTGAATTCCTCATAGTCTCCCCTAAACTCCCTCTTCCCATGGTTTCTCCCATCTCACTTAAGGGCAATACCCTCCCTTATTTGCTCAGGCCAGAAGCCTTCGAGTTATCCTTGATTCCTCTCTTTCCCACTTCACATCTGGTCTATCAGCAAATCCTGCAGGCTGGATCTTACATTTATCCTGAATTCACATTTTTGTCATCTTTGCTGCCATCAATCTGGTACAAGCCACTATCCTATTTCACCCTCTTGACAACCATGGTCTATTAGGTCTCCCTGCTTCTACCTCTGGTTCTACATCAGCTATTTTCCATGCTTCAGGCCAAAACTCTCCAACAGTTCCCATTTCACCAAAAAACCCCACCGACTTCCATATATGAGTGGTTTAACCTCTACACTTTTTACGTCTCACTCTGCTCTAGTCTATTTGCTGTTCCTGGATCAGGCCGTCTCCATATTCCTCAGCTTTAAAGCCTGGTCCCTGGCTGTTCCCTTTACCAGGAATGCTCTTCCACCTGACATTCCCTTGGCTGGTTCATTCCTTCACCTCCGTATGTCTGCTCAAAAGTCACCTGGCCACCATCTAAGACATTCCACAGGCACATCTCATATTCTCCTTTTATTTTTTCATAGCACTTTCACCATTTCTGCCCTTTCACACATTTTAAGGATTGTCTGTTTTCCCTAATGTGTTACAAACGTGTTGTCACTTAGTTGTGTCCAACTCTTCTAGACTCCATGGAATGTAGCCAACCAGGCTTCTCCATCCATGGGATTTTCCAGGCAAGAGTACTGGATTGGGTTGCCATTTCCTTCTCCAGGGGATCTTTCCCACCCAGGGATCGAACCCAGGTCTCCCGTATTGCAGGCAAACGCTTTATCCCTAACTAGAGTGTAAATTTCAAGGGGGCAGAAATTTTCACGCCCCTTTGCAGTTGCATTCCCCAGTGCTTATGTGGCACACAGTAGGTGGTCAATAAATAAGTGGTAAGTGAGTGAAAGTTGCTCAGTCCTTTCTGACTCTTTGCAACCCCATTGACTATACAGTCCATGGAGTTCTCCATGGACACAATAAAGGACAGAAATGGTATGGACCTAAGAGAAGCAGAAGATATTAAGACGAGGTGGCAACAATATACAGAAGAACTATACAAAAAAGATCTTCATGACCCATATAACCACGATGGTGTGATCACTCACTGACAGCCAGACATTCTGCAGTCTGAAGTCAAGTGGCCCTTAGGAAGCATCATACGAATAAAACTAGTGGAAGTGATGGAATTCCAGTTGAGCTATTTCAAATCCTAAAAGATGATGCTGTGAAAGTGCTGCACTCAATATGCCAGCAAATTTGGAAAACTCATGACTGGCCACAGGACTGGAAAAGGTCAGTTTTCATTCTAGTCGCAAAGAAAGGAAATGCCAAAGAATGCTCAAACTGTTGCATAATTGCACTTATCTTACATACTAGCAAAGTAATGTTCAAAATTCTCCAAGCCAGGCTTCAACAGTATGTGAACTGTGAACTTCCAGATATTCAAGCTGGATTTAGAAAAGGCAGGGGAACCAGAGATCAAATTGCCAACATCTGTTGGATCATCAAAAAAGCAAGAGAGTTCCAGAAAAACATCTACTTCTGCTTCACTGACTGCGCCAAAGCCTTTGACTGTGTGGATCACAACAAAATGTGGAAAATTCTTAAAGAGAGGGGAATACCAGACCACCTGACCTGTCTCCTGAGAAACCTGTTTGCAGGTCAAGAAGCAACAGTTAGAACTGGACATGGAACAACAGACTGGTTCCAAATTGGGGAAAGAGTGCATCAAGGCTATATACTGTCACCCTGCTTATTTAACTTATATGCGAGTACATCATGAGAAATGCCAGGCTGGATGAAGCACAAGCTGGAATCAAGATTGCTGGGAGAAATATCAATAACCTCAGATATGCAGATAACATCACCCTTATGGCAGGAAGTAGAGAAGAACTAAAGAGCTTCTTGATGAAAGTGAAAGAGGAGAGTGAAAAAGTTGGCTTAAAACTCGACATTCAGAAAACGATCATGGCATCCGGTCCCATCACTTCATACCAAATAGATGGGGAAACAATGGAAACAGTGACAGGATTTATTTTGGGGGGCTCCAAAATCACTGCAGATGGTGACAGCAGCCATGAAATTAAAAGGTGCTTGCTCCTTGGAAGAAAAGTTATGACCAACCTAGACAGCATATTAAAAAGCAGAGACATTAAATTTGCCAACAAAGGTTGGTCTGGTCAAAGCTATGGGTTTTCCAGGAGTCGTGTATGGATGTGAGAGTTGGACTATAGAGAAAGTTGAGCACCGAAGAATTGATGTTTTGAACTGTGGTGTTGGAGAAGAGTCTTGAAAGTCCCTTGGACTGCAAGGAGATCCAACCAGTCCATCCTAAAGGAAATCAGTCCTGAATATTCACTGGAAGGACTGATGCTGAAGCTGAAACTCCAATACTTTGGCTACCTGATGTGAAGAACTGACTCATTGTTAAAGACCCTGATGCTGGGAAAGATTGAAGACGGGAGGAGAAGGGGACGACAGAAGATGAGATGGCTGGATGGCATCACCGACTCGATGGACATGAATTTGAGTAAGCTCCGGGAATTGGTGATGGGCAGGGTGGCCTGGAGTGCTGCATGCAGTCCATGGGGTCGCAAAGAGTCGGACACGACTGAGTGACTGAACTGAAATAAGTGAACGATTGTCCAACAATCCAACAGTCGGGGGGTGTGAGGGAAGAAAGAAATACGCATGCTCGGGTAATTCTGAAAAATTACTGTTTGGAAGTGCAAGACAGGCGGGAGTTCCAATTTCACGTGACACCTCCCTTGTCCTCCTCCCCGCCGGAACGTTTCAGTCCCGGAACCTTGGCTCGCGGGTCCTGGCGCGATGGCACTTCCGGTGCCCCTCCTCTCTAGCCAGCGAAGAGAACTGCCAAGTCAGTTCCGGCAGAGAGCGCGGCTAGAAGCGGATCGTGGCCTTCTACCCTGGGGCCCTCCAGGCCCTCCGGCCTCTGGTCGGTAGGTGAACTGGGGGGCCCCGGGACATTCTCGGATGTGTTTTGCAGAGCGGTCGCCGAGGCTGCCAATTGGCAGGGCCCAAGACTGGAAGCAGCTGGGAACCTCTCCCCCCCACCCCACCCCACCCCCACCGCCGCGACCAAATGGCGGCGGCCCCTCCGAACCAGGATCCTGCCGACCGCTGAGTCTCTTCACCCAGTGCTGCAGGACTTGGGCTTAGGCGAAGCCTCCGCATGGCCACCGAGAACGTGGCGCCTTTGGGAGTCGGGCGTGGCAGGACTAGAAGAATGGCGGCCGCTCGAACTCTGCGGAGGGCCGTTAGAGTCTCGGGGGCCTGGGAAGGATTGTGGACGCCAGCTTGTCCACCCTTAGGCCTTGGGGCCACACGGATCCGCGACCTGAGGTGACTGCTCTGTCCCAGTTGGACGAGACCTCACCTCATTCGGACAACGACGGACAAAGGCCTTAACGGGCCCGCAAGGTGAGCGGAGCCCGGGTCGACGGCGGGTGGAACGTTAGCGGGCCATCGGGCGGTGATCGTCGTTCTACCGAGACCTTGATGTCGGAAGATAGAAATGGTAGAATAACGTACCCGTTGTGGCCAACAGAAAGTGCCCGCCGCCCTCTGGGAAGATTTACTGGCCGCTGATAGAAGGCCTGTGTATATAATATGAAAAAGCTGCTCTCAACTTTACCCCCAACCTTTCAAAAGAAAACTTTCACTACATCTAGGTCTCCTAGATGTAAAGAGGTTGCCGACGTATGATAAAATAGTTAGAAAAATCACGTCTTGTAAATGCCCATTTGTTTAAAAAAAAAAAAACTATAGAAAAGAAATGTCTTCTGGAAATGACTGTTTCGAAATGGAGTTGTTTGGTTACCTCTAGAAGCAACTTCCGGAGCCACTGAAGTCCCCGTTTGTTCAGTGGGTTGGAGGACATGTAATGGAAGACCTTGAGGAGGAAGAATAGAAAGTTCTATGCCAGACTGGTCATACTTAGAAGACATTTTTATATACCCATTGTTGTGTGTGTGCATTTTATTCCTCACTACTGTATATATAGTTGACAATAAGTACTTTTTAAAAATACCTAGTCTTTCTAGATGTTCTGAAGTGCCTGATGTATGTTAAAAGTCCAGGTAGTAAAAAGACATTTTGTAAATACCTTTTTGTTAAAATTCATACGAAATGTTGGGGAGTGGGGGGATTGGCCAGACCACTTCCTGGAGCAGTACACTTTGTGTTTTGTGCACTGGTTCAAGGTCGGGGTGTCGGGGGAGAGGGGAGGGAAGTGCAGATCTCTGTGCCAGTGTGTTTATAGTGAGGCAAGAGTAACCATTGTCTTTTCTGTTAGTGCATTTTGTTTCACTTTGCTGTATATATAGTGTATATAATGGACAAATGGGTCCTAATTTACAACATCTAGTCTTTCTAGATGTTAAAGAGGTTGCCAGTGTATGACAAAATAGAGTTAGTAAATAATACATTTTGTACATTTTATGTTTAAAGTTTCTAGGAAAGATTGTCTTCTGAAAATTTGAGCATTATAGCCCCGTGGGTATAGTGGAGAGAGGAGAGAAGGGAAGGGAAGGGTCTTAGGCTAGAATACTCATATTTTGAAGACAATTTCAAGATTATAACTGTTACATGTGGCAGTTTATTCAAGACTGCTTTGTATATAGTGGACAAATTAAGTCCTTATTTGAAACATCTAGTCCACCTAGATGTTTAGAAGTGCCCGACGTATGTTAAATGTAGAGGTAGTGAATACCACTTTGTAAATAATTTTTTGCTCAAATTCATACGAAGTACTGTCTTTAAGAATGTTAAATGTTAAACCACCTCTGTGAGCAGTATACTGTTGTCTATACTTGTTCAGTGGTTTGGAGGAGGTGGGAGGGAAAGAACTACAAAAAGTAATATGCTAGTTTTTTGCACCTGGACATTTTCAGATGAAACCATTTTTTGTATGTTATGTGCATTTTGTTTTGCTGTGTATATAGTGTATATAATGGACAAATGAGTCCTAATTTTGTGACATCTAGTCTCTAGATGTTAAAGAGGTTGCCAGTGTATGACAGTAGTAAAATTAGCACATTTTGTACACTTTGTGTTGAAATTCATAGGAATGCTTGTTTTCTGTAAATGATTTTTTTATATGAATGTATTCAGACACCTCTAAGCGTTACACATGCCTGTTCTTGTCCACTGGATTGGTGGTGGAAAAAAGGAAGTGAGGGAGGGAATGGTTCAGGCCAAAATGGTCATATTTAGGAGATACCTCAAATTATAACCATTGTTACCTGTGTGCAATTTTACTTAACAGTACTGTGTACATAGTGGACAAGTAAGTTCTTGTATGAAATATCTAGTCTTTCTAGATATTTAGAAGTGCTTGATGCATTTTAAAGTAGAAGTAGTGTAATAATGCTTCTTGTAAATAGCTTTTTAAAACTGATGGGAAATACCGTAATTGGAAATGGAATTGTTAAACCTCCTCTCCGAACAGTATACTCTCTGTGCTTTTTCATTGGGTTGAGGGAGGTGGGAGGGAAGTTTGCAAAAGATGTTTTGCTAGTGTGTACTAGAACATTTCAGCTTACCATTGCTTTATATGTTAAGTGCATTTCATTTAACTTTACTGTATATATTATGTATATACTGGACAAATGGGTCCCAATTTTATAATATCTAGTCTCTAGATATTAAAGAGGTTGCCAATGTATGACAAAAGTAGGGTTAGTAAACTAACACATTTTGTACACTTTGTGTTAAAATTCATTGGAAAGGCTGTCTTCTGAAAAGGACCTTTGAAAGTGAAATTGTAATAAATCACATCTAAGTGATACATGTGCCTGTACTTGCCACCCACTGTTGGATGGATGGCAAAAAGGAGGAATTGGAAGAAATGAAAGGTTCTAGACCAGAATGTTCCTTCGTAGAAGATACCTTCAGGTATAACCATTGTTACATGTGTGTAGTTTATTCAACACTACTGTGTATATAGCGGACAAACTTAAGTCCTTATTTGAAACATCTAGTCTTTCTAGATGTTTAGAAGTGCACAAAGTATGTTAAAAGTAGAGGTAGTGAAATAACATTTTGTAGATATATCCTTTTGTTAAGATTCATATGAAATACTCATTTAGAAATGGAATGATCAAACCACCTCTCAGAGCAGTACGTATTACTTTATTTGTGCTGGTTCAGGGAGAAAGTACAGGGGGCGGGTTATACCAGTATGTTAGGCAAGGTTAACCATTGTCCTGTTATGTGTCTGCATTTTGGTTTACTTAGTTGTGTATATAGTGTATATAAGGGACAAACGTCCAAATTTACAACATCTAGTCTTCCTAGATGTTAAAGAGGTTGCCAGTGTATGACAAAAATAACCAATAAATACATTGTGTACACTTGATGTTAAAATTCATAGGCAAGACTTCTGAAAACAACTAGCAGAAGTGAAATTGTTAAAATCCTCTCTAAGCATTATAGATGCTTATTAGACTTGTCCACTGGGTTGATAGAGAAGAGGAAGGGTCCTTGGCTAGAGTGTTCCTCTTTAGATGATACTTTGAGACTATAGCCATTGTACGCAGTGTATTCAGTGCTACTATGTGTATGTATAGTGGACAAACTTAAATCTTTATTTGAAACATCTAGCCTTTTAGATGAGTAAAAGTACACAACATATTTTGAAAGAGTTAAACACCTTTTAAGTATTTTTTTTGTTAATAGGAATGGTTTTATTTGGGGAGTGGGGTTGTCTTGGAGAGTAAGCTGAGGTTTACTGGGTGGGGGGGGGTGGGGGGAGGGGACAGGGAAGGAAGTGCAGAGAGCAGGGCTCTGCCCATCAGTCTTTATAGACAAGTTCAGATTGTCTACCCATTGTTCTGTTTGTGCATTTTAGTTAATATTGCTGTGTGTTAAAGAATAAGCAAGTCCTAATGCCCAAAGTATATTAAGAGTAGAGGTAGTAAAATAACCCCTTATTGAATGCTCTTTTGTTGGTTTTAAGGAAGGGCTGTGTCTTCTGGGAGTATCTATGTTAATCCACCTCTTGGAACTAGATGTAGTCTGGTACTTAGTCGCTGAAATGCTGAAGGAGTAAGAGGAAGGGTGAGGGGAAGGGCTCTTGGCTAATATCTCCCATTAGACAGTTTTAGGTTATAGGTCTGTAATGTGCATTTTTGTGAAGTACCTATGTTTATTGTGGACAAGGTTCATTACTTTGAAACATCTAGGCTTTTTAGATGTCCTGAGGTGACAATGTATGATATAAAGTAGAACTAGTGAGTTAACCAATTTGTAAATATCTTTTTTATAATTGATTTTTTTTAAAAGGCAGCATCTTGGACCTGGAATAATTATACCTTCTCTGAGAAATGTACATCAGGACTTGTTCATTTAGGTTGGCAGCTGAGGGGCGGAAGGAAGTATAGAGGGAGGGCTGAATGTGTTTATATTTTGATGATGACCACTGATGTGTGTGCATCTCCTGGCTGTACTATAGGAATGCATTGTTAAATAATTCAGCAGAAACATAGCTCCTTGCTGACACCATAATAGTTTAGACCAGATGATGGATCCTCTTAGGACTGTTATACTTCGTGTACTCTGTTGCTTTATGTCTCATTTTAATTGAACATTAAGGGAATGTAGTATTTTAATCATAGCTCTGCCAGTATGTTTATCTAGAGGCCTGTTGCCATTTTTGTCTTTGAAGTTTTGTTGCCAAGAAAGGCAAGATTACATTTTTTTCCTTCCAGATTGAGTTGGTGTAGTGTATTCTTGGTTATCAAAATACTCATAGCTTTGGGACTTTGAAATGGTAAATATTCATAATGTGTGAAACAGCATGATACATAATTGTATGATCTTAATTACATAAAAATGGATGCTTAGTTGTGAAAAATACACAAATGAGACCTAGAAGGACATGTCAAACGGTAAACTGATTATGAATGACTTTTGTTTTTTGCTTCTTGTGCTTTTTGGTTTCCTATTATGCACATGTTAACTTTTAAGAAATAAATGTTATTTTAAAAACCTTAATGAAGTCTCCATTCTTGTAAAGTTAGCATACACACTCCATAGAACATAGTGTCCAAAAAAAAAAAAAAAAGAACATAGTGTCCACATCCTTCATGCCTGGGCTCTGAGGCATCTAGTGAGGCCATTCATTGCTTATATACCGCCCCCCCCCCACCCCATGTCTTGCTATTCTGGCAGCTCTGCTCTTGCAGTGTTCCCAACTTTGCTCAAGCTATTCCTTCTGCCCATAGCACCCTTTCCACATTTTTCATCTAGCAGAATCATTCACTGCCCTCTCAAACTTCATACACAGTCTTACCTGACACCCCAGAATTAAAGTGCCAGAACCCAATGTCCAAAGTTACACACCTC